TAGAGGAGTTAGTAATTCAGTGTTTTTGGAGTTTTGCCTAGTAAAGTTAATAGAAAAGTGTATATAGATAAATATGTAAGGATAAATATTGCAGGAAAAAAGAAAAAGGAAACAATCTGAGTATCTCTAGTAGGAAACTGCATCAGTAAAGCATACAGGGGAAACTAAGTGGGGCTCTTGAAAAATGTAATGTTGATGTATTTTTGTAGAACAGGGAAAGTGTTCATTATTTCTTGTCGTAAGAGTAAATTTCCCTCGAGACATGAAGCCATAGTGATAAAATGGATTCTAGTCTCGCTAGAATCCAGCCTTGCTTAGATTTGTAAAAATCCATGAACTTTACAATATGGTTCTTTGTATTTACCCTTTTATAAATTGTGCTTTGGGGTAGCTATTTAAAGACAGAAAGAAGAAAGATTCTTTTCAGAAACAGAGTATAATTGTTTTCTACTTTTTCATATTCCATTTTGTGTTTCCAGTTTTTTTCCTTTCCTAGTTATAACCAAAACTTTATTAAATACACTAAGTCTGAATTACATTCTGTCTGTCAAATGTAACTAAGTACTTAACTAAAAGACCTTGACTTCTTGGAAAACTTACATATACATTTAGTAGACATCAAAGAGACTGATTTTTTTTTTCAGTCACATAGATTTGTTTGTTTGTTTGTTTTCATTTATTTTTATTAGTTGGAGGCTAATTACTTTACAATAGTGTAGTGGGTTTTGTCATACATTGACATGAATCAGCCATGGATTTACATGTATTCCCCATCCCGATCCCCCCTCCCACCTCCCTCTCTACCCAATCCCTCTGGGTCTTCCCAGTGCACCAGGCCCGAGCACTTGTCTCATGCATCCAACCTGGGCTGGTGATCTGTTTCACCCTAGATAATATACATGTTTCGATGCTGTTCTCTTGAAACATCCCACCCTCGCCTTCTCCCACAGAGTCCAAAAGTCTGTTCTGTACATCTGTGTCTCTTTTTCTGTTTTGCATATAGGGTTATCGTTACCATCTTTCTAAATTCCATATATATGTGTTAGTATACTGTAATGGTCTTTATCTTTCTGGCTTACTTCACTCTGTATAATGGGCTCCAGTTTCATCCATCTCATTAGAACTGATTCAAATGAATTCTTTTTAATGGCTGAGTAATATTCCATGATGTATATGTACCACAGCTTCCTTACAATGACTAGGAGATAATGTGGGTGTCACTAAAATCTGTAATTTTCATCAAAATTATTCAATTAGTAGTTACAGATGATGTTGACATGTGTTCACACCCTAGTACCTTATTCAACAAAGACTATTGTGGTCTTTGGGGCTCATTGGAATTTCAGAAACAGCTGTACTTTGACCAAAGTGTAAATTCTACAATTAACTTTTGAAAGTTCAACAAACAGTATTTTGAAAGCTTTGCCATCACTAACGAGGAAAGGGGCCCCCAATTAAATACACATTAGACAGACGATGAAGGATCTGGGTAGCACTGAAGGCTTTTCAGCTTCCATATACAATCTACTGATGCTGTTTATAACGTATTTAAATAAAAGTTTTCTCTGAAAAAAAGAATACACATTAATCTGAGAACAGCAATGTCACCAGGGACAATTCCATAATTAAGAGTGCATACTGTATGCCAGGTACTCTGCTAAGATGCCACAGCTCTTGTTTTCAAAGGAGCTCACAAGTCAATGGTGTAGAAAGATGTGGGAAAAAAAGTACTGGAGTGTAATGAGTTCTGAGAGTTTGTTTAAAAAAAAAAATTACCATGGAAACCAGAGATGGGAGTAACTGATTTCCAGTGTCATGCAGCCTGAGTAACTGATGATGGATGGACCTTGGTCCATCTGGGAGTCATCACCCATCGACCCAGGTCCTGCCTCTCTCTGGTGGCCATGTCTTGGGCAAATGAGTTACACTTTCATAGTGGCCCCCTCATCTCCTTACTGATCACAGCCCATACCTGCCCTATCTGGGTACTGCACAGATTCAGTGATACAGATAGAATACGTAAATTGTACTGCAAACAGAGCAGTTGACCAAAAAATTAATTTTTCTTCTTAACATAAATAGTAAAGGTATATAGGTTTAATGGGCTTCCCTGGCAACTCAGTGGTAAAGAATCCACCTGCTAAGCAGTAGGTGAATTCAATCCCTTGGTGGGGAAGACCTCTTCCCCCTGGAGAAGAAAATGGCAACCCACTCCAGTATTCTTGCCTGGGAAATCCCATGGACAGAGGAGCCTGGCCGACAGAGTCAGAAAACTCAGGGACAAAACAGCAACAGTAATACAGGTTAAATAGGTTAATTCATATCCTGTTTAATATTTGCGATAATTTAGAAATAGATCAAACAAATTTATTCTTGTATTTTTACCTGGAACATTCTTTCATTATTTGTTATTTTTAGTTCAATTTTAGTTTACATACCCTGAGTTGTTTTATCAATTGATTCATCATAAAACTATTTCATATAGCTCTATAGCCTTCATTCTTGGGTGTTTTGTTTTTTTTTTCTGTTAATGATCTTTGGTTTAAAAAGGCCATTCCTGCCAAGGTAAATGAAAACTCATGACCTGGCCTTGAAAAAAAATTGAGAAAATAATCCCTCATAATTCCAGCCTACTCAGCATCAGAGCAGAAACCAGAAAGTATTCCATCTCACTCCCTGATAAAAGAACAGATATAAATCCTTGATGACTTAATGACTTCAAACTCTGTGAAACCAGAGTAAAAGCTCTTTGACCACAGTGCTTCTCCGCAGTTAAGTCCTTTCCATCGAGTCAGGTTCTTGCTTTTTTATTTTTATTTTTTCAAGTTACTAAATATGAGTCAAAATCATGAATTACAGTCAGGATGTTTGATCCAGCCAAGTCTTAAAGCATCTTGTCCCCACCCTCACCCCACTCCCTTTCTGGGGGCTGGTTAACCAGTGTGGAAGATCAAACGAGATTGCTACACTCATCAGTTTGTGCCAAGAAAGCGGTGCTTTTCATTACCATCTTTCTAAACTCCATATTTATGTATTAATATACTGTATTGGTGTTTTTCTTTCTGACTTACTTCACTCTGTATAATAGGCTTCAGTTTCCAGATACTTTCTTAATGAGCCCAATACTGTTATACTTAACTATAACATAAAGGCAATTTTGGAAATGTGTCTTTAGTGGATAAGAATTTTGACAGTATTTTATTCTTCTCCATGTATTTGTGTATGTGTGCATACACATAGTCTTTAGGTAGTCTTCCTAACCCTTATGTTTAAGAAGCCTCTTACAGTTATATTCTTCTTTACAAAAAAAAAATCCACATATTCCACCAACATGTTTTAAATGCCTCTTTGGTAGAAGTCAGAAGTTGAGAAATAAGTTTATATAAATTTGACATATTTTCTTCTGATCCAATTTTTTCTTTTACTTAAGCACACATAGAGAACACACATACATACTATTGGACATAAATTTTTGTATTATATATACAGCCTGAACATGACTTTTTGAAAAACTCAACAATGTTTTTGAATTCTAGCGCTGCTTAAACACATAGATTTGTTTTGCTTGTTTTTTTAAGATGGTGTATTTAAATATTCCATCATATAAAATACATTTTATGTATCTACTACTCCCTTACTAATTGGCATTTAACTTGATTCCAACTTTCAGTATTATAAATAGTGCTGTGTGAACATCCTTTTACTGGGGTCTCCTAGGGAGTGGGTCTCTAGGACAGATGCCCCATAGTGGGCCAGAGAGCCAGGACATATTCCTTTTTCTTGGTACTGTGAGGTTTTCCTTAGAATGGCTGCATTCATTCATTCTCCCACCAACAGTTTATGAAAATACCTATTTCTTCAGTCCAGCTATATTGGATATTGTCCTGTGTTGTTTTATTTTATTTTTTTGCCAACCTGATGATTGAAAATATTGTTTCATGTTTACACTTTTGAGTCCCATTCTGCAGCTGTGATATGTCATAATATAATGAGACTGCTAAAATCAGATGCATGAAAGAAAAACATACACCCAAGAGCTTATGTTATATTGTATTATTTCCAAATGTAAAAGGAATTGTCATTTGGATAAAAAGATTAAACCGACTAATTCTCTGGACAAACATTTATTAAGCATTTCATACTAGGCACTAGGATTACAGAGATAAACAGATTATGGACTGACATCAGTCAGGGGCTCCAATAGAGGAAAGAGGTACTTCAACCAGTAATTTCTGCACAGAGGAAGGAGAAAATCACTTTAATTCTCTTGATGGTGGGGATTGCATGTTAGAAAGACATCAATTTTAAAAGGCAGTAAACGCCTCATTAAATGTTTAAAAAGATTTTCACACGTTTACTCTTCGGCTGGGCACTACATGATATAAACAGTCCATGACAGAACACCCCTAGGAGTCACAGTGAGCTGTAAAAAGACGCACAGATGAGAACTTGTCCCCTAACCCCCGTGGGAACACAGTTAAGAGGTTACCTGTGCTCAGCACACCCCCTCTACCAGTAATGAAGTTTCTCAGCATGTGGCATGGACTTAGCACCACGCTAGGTGCAGAGGTGCACACACATACCAAGATGTGGGCGACATGGTTCCTGCTCATCAGAAGCTCAGAATCCAGGTGGGGAGACAAGGCAGTTTATATTGAATGACCCTTTCATACTAACTCAGGAAAAGGAACTGAACCGAATTCAAATGATACTTCCATATGACCCACAGACAATGGACAGGAAACTTGAACACCTAGAGAAATGTCTTAGAGGGAAGCAGTGGGTAGAATGATAAATTGTCCCAGGTACAGAGTTACAGTGTAGAAGAATAAATAATAAAATTGCATTCATTATGCTCTTAATCCACAGCCCTGCACATAGTAGGTATGTAATACACTCAACATCTTTTTGGGGTTGAGAGAATGTTATTAGTGACTGGGGCTCAGTTACTAATACAAATATGTCAAGAAAAATCAGTCTTTTTATTTTTGTTTTTTTAGGTCAAGAAGTGGTTTTCAAGTGCCTTGGGGAAGGAATTCTTGAGAAAGCCTTCCAGGGGTATAATGCTTGCATTTTTGCATATGGACAGACAGGTAAGTAGCTGCTTTTCTTTACAGTCAGTGATATTAAATGTGCATTTCTTAATACAGAAATAGAAAACACTTTGGGAAGTCGTAGAAAAATGCTTCTGACTTCACAGGTTTAGCTGAATTAAATGATCAAAACTAATCTTTTTGAAGGTTCAACAGTTGTGAAATGAAGTAATTTAAGTGTTAATGAGCATGCTAGTTTCAAACTATTAAGTGTCATTTTCCTAAATTATAGTTTTAACCTGTATTTGAGCTAGGAAAATAATTACCAGTTTCTTAGTACAAATGTTATAGTGAAAAATTGTAGAAAAACTCTTAGTATCTATCATCCTATACAGAGTACTTCACTAGAATATAGAAAAGATGATAGGTTATTAAACAAAACTAGACTAGTGGTTCAGCAATTAACACTGTAAGCCATCCACTATTTCAGCTATAAAGTTGGAATAAATTAATTAAATGGTAATAATACTGCCTATTGTCACATTACAGGACATCAAGGAGAATATATAGCCAAGCACTTTCAAAAGTGTGAAATATTTTGTGGGTAAAATATGTTAATGTTACTTGATGTATAGTTGATATTTACACACTTTTTAAAGCTTTCTGTCATATATTGGAGTATAGTTGATTAACAGTGTTGTGTTAGTTTCAGGAGTCCAGCCAAATGATTGTTGTACATATTTAGGCTGTTAGATAATCTCAAACAGAGTTCCCTGTACTATACAGTAGTTCTTTTTACTATATATACTTTTAGAGATTACATATTTGTAGCGCTTACATTAGTACGCATCCATCTGGAGGTACCCTCCGGGTCTCACACTGGTGGTCAGGAGTGTAATAGTGTAAATAGTAACTCTGGTGTCTGAGGACCTGGCTCTGGGGGCCAGATTGTCTGTCTCTTTCTGCTGTGTGACCTTGGCTGATGTATAGGATACACTTGTACAACTGAAGTGTTACACGTTGCCTCCTCTTCCATCCTCCTCTCTTTCTGCTCACCTTTCTCCAGGCTCAGGAAAATCCTTCTCCATGATGGGCAATGCTGAGCAGCGAGGCCTCATCCCAAGGCTCTGCTGTGCTTTATTTCAAAGGATCTCTCTGGAGCAGAATGAGTCACAGACCTTTAAAGTGGAAGTATCCTATATGGAAATTTATAATGAGAAAGTCCGGGATCTTTTAGATCCCAAAGGGTAAGTTAGTGGTTGACACGAACCTTATAATGGGGGTAGTAATTTTAAATGATCCTGAAGTTAAAGTTGCAAGTGAGTTTATGTGTTTGAAGCCCTCGGTCACTACTCCCGTTTCAGTTCGTTTACTGAGAGAACATCAGCTTCTCAAAGTCTGTCGATATACCCAGGATTCATAGTTTATCCTACACTCATGTATAAAGTTGCTTACCCATGCCATTTAGATGACTGTTTTTACTGTTTTGGTATTTTTGCCACTACAGTTTATTTGTATTTATTCATTGAGTTAAGAATGACACAGTGGTCTTTCCATCTGCTCTAAATTGGAGGTAAAGTGGTCGAAGGTTTCGAATGACCTGGCCTAGACAAGCCATTCTCTTCCATGGATGTACATTGGAATCACTCGGAGGCTTTTTAATGCAATACTGGTCCGAGCCCCTCCCGTAGGGCTGATGATTCAGTAGACCCAGGAGGAAACCCAGGCATCTGTATTTTTTAAAAACTAGGTGATAAAAGCCAGATGAGTTTGATTCATAGAGGAAGGAAAGGGCCGTTTACCTTTTAATTAAAATTTTTATTGATTTAAGAATAATATATATAAAAATTTAGAAAGTAGGTAAAGTGTAAGAAGAATAAAAATGGCCTATAATCCTCAAAAATAACTGCTGTTAACACTTTATGCATTTTGGTGTCTTAGATCTATGGAGTGGATATGTAGTGTGTGTGTTGAGGTGCTTCTCTAAATACAATTCAGTATCCTGAATTTTTTATATAATATGATGAATACTTTCTCATGTTATTAAAAATATTTTTTAAATACTTTCAGCAGCTGTATAGTCAAGGGTATAATCAGAGGTGTAAGATAAAAATTATGGATGGCAAGGAAGTGACCCAGTCACCAGAAATGTTTTTACTTTTACCTAATAACTGTGTAATGCATATGAAAGAACATTTAGGGATTGGGATGGGGAACACATGTAAATCCATGGCTGATTCATATCAGTGTATGGCAAAAACCACTACAATATTGTAAAGTAATTAGCCTCCAACTAATAAAAATAAAAAATTTAAAAAAGAACATTTATAATACATGTAAAATATAAAGAATAATAAAATCAATGACTGTTCTGCTCACCATTTGGCTTAGTAAATGGAACGTTTTTATGGTGCTCATTATCTCCCTTCTCTTTAAGAGTCTATGCGTAATTTTGCAGTTTTTGCCTATATATGGCTTCATAATATGTTTGTCCTTTGATGACTTGCTACTTTTCCCCTCAGTGATTTGTTTGTTCTGATGTATGAAGTAATAATTCATTAATTTTTACTGCTCTTTGGTATTCCATTGTACGAGATACCATAATTTATTTACTCTGTCTCCTCTCATTCCTGTGGTTTCCACTTTTTACCACAACTGTCCTTCTCTGAGCATTTCTGTACATTCCTCCTGGCGTACAAATGCAGGAGTTTCTAGGGAATGTGTCTAGGAGTGGAATTATGGGTCACAAGCTGTGGAACTTTCAGCCTTGGTGTTACAAAACTGTTTCCCAAAATAGTTGTACCAGTTTACACTCCCCCCAGTGGTGTACAAGAATCCCAAATGTTAGACACCATCAGAAGGGCTTGATATTGTGCTTGATTTACTTTTTCATGCCCACGACTAGCGATAATCTCTGATTATGCAAATGGAGTGAGCCAGGTTCTGGAGGCATGGGCAGCTAGGCAGCTCTCTTGAACTGGTGCACTTGGTCTGCCCTTGTTTCAAAATACAACAGAATTGCTCATTGTCATATTGCATTCTTCAAGCTTAAAATAAAGTTAGTAAAGCCAGCTTTATGGAGTTGTGAGATTAAGACTGAGATAACTGAGAAGTTTTTAGGGAGCAAGGTCTTGATTTAGGGATGTGCGCATTCTTAGTTTCTTCTTGCCACACTTGAGTGATGATAGGCATTGACTCTTGGTTTGAAAAGTGATCAGTATTTGATGCCACGAAATATGTGACATAATGCAATATGGCCATAATATATATTATATATGGTTTTACTTTTCATCTCAGTTGTCTGTTGATAAGCTCTTCAAGTGGGTCCCAAACCAGGTTTGCCTTTTAAAAATTCAGGAGTCCTAAAATCTTGACCAGCAGAGCCAGTTCTCAATATAGAATAATAATTATCAGTAACTACAAACAACTGCTATCCTATAGCATCATTCTTTGTATAAAATGGTCAGCACAGATCAGCATAAATCAGTGCTCCTAATCTGAAAGGGTAAATTAAAAGTAAAACACTTTAATATTGTTCAATTCTTGCTTAAAACTGTTAAGACATTACTTATTAAGAATATGCTTACTTATAAAATAGCCTAAAGGTTAAATTCAGTACTGTTTGTTCTTTGCTTCACTCCCCTCTCCCCACCCCATGTGAAATTAAAGTTCATCTACTAAAACAAGTTAGCCTAACCTAGTATTCTGTGTGCTGGTTGTTTAGTTTGGGAGTAGAGATAGAATTTTTAAAACAGTATGTTACTTTAAATAGAAATCAGAGTATAAAAGGCATTCCTCATAAGGCATGCTGTTTTGCTAATCCAAGTAAAGTAGCTTTTAGAATAGTTTTTGATCGTTAAAAGAAAAATTCTTTTGAAATTGCAATCCTAATTTCTGAGTACTTTTGCAAGTACTTTTTTTTAGAGAGAAAATCTCCAAGTTGGGTATGATTCATTCATTCCATTTTCCTTTCTCTTGAAGGAGTAGACAGTCTCTTAAAGTTCGAGAGCATAAAGTTTTGGGACCATATGTAGATGGTTTATCCCAACTGGCTGTCACTAGTTTTGAGGTAAGTGTCATTAAAAAAAAAAAAAAAGATATTAAAAGCTGACAGTAAATTGAAGTGTATAGATCATATTAAATATATTTTTATGTGAATGCTTTATAGCATATTGTTACAATTGAGGGTCTCAGAAACCCAGTATCAACCACCCCAAACAGAAAATAAAGACTTTTAATCACAGTCTTCAAGCCGCTTGGTTTTGAAGCGTTTGCAGTGTTGCCAGGAGGCCCAGCATCCTGAGGTTGCTGAATAGTTTCATGAATAGCACTCTATTGAAACTCTTCTCCCTAAGGTTGCCAGTGATGTCGTTTTGGACAGATGTAGACACTGTTTGGTAGTTATTTCAACCATTTCTCTTTGACAGTGTCTCCGATCTTAGTTTGCATTCCTTTTCACTCTTCTGATTCTTCTGCTTTTCTGAACTGATCTCCCTCCGTTGACCAGTCTGTTTCTTTTTCCTACTCCTTGACTTCTGAGCTTTCACACAATCCTGGCTTGATATTTTGTCTGTATTTTTATTGTCATTGCTTTGGGAATCCCATAAAAGACACCGCTATCTGTTACCAAAGAATGCAGATAAATAAATGAGTAAACACATCTGTCTACTTAGAAGCGCCATCTCTGGTTATTTGTCCCTGCATCACTTCAGACTCAGTAGAACTAAAATTAATCTGTGAGGTAACTCTCTTCAGCCATTTAAATATAGATAGTTTTAGTACTCCTTAAATAAAAAATAAAGGGCAGTCATCACTCAGTCATCAGTGAGATCTGGAAATGAACAAAGACCCCTCTGGCGGGAAAGTGCGAAGTCAGCACTTGTGCTTAAGTGCCTGGCTGAGCGTCACTGGGGCCAGTGACCATCTCCTCCTGTCACTTACTAGTAAGAATTGGGGCGTCCGTGATTTATATCCAGTTCTGCCTGTTATTGGGCTCTTCAAGTGGCTCAGTGGTAAAGGATCTGCCTGCCAAGCAGAAGATGTGGGTTCGATCCCTGGGTCAGGAAGATCCCCTGGAGAAGGAAATGGCAACCCACTCCAGTATTCTTACCTGGGAAATCCTATGGATTGAGGAGCCTGGTGGGCTACAGTCCATAGGGTCGCAAAAGAGTCAGACATGACTTAACAACTAAAAAGCAAACAACTGCCTCTTATTAGATGTGGGAAGAGTTACTTGACCTCCATGAACTTCAGTGTCCTGTGTGTATAATCAGATAAATACTTCTTTTGTAATATTCATCAAACATTGTTTAAGAGTCTTAGGTTCCGGGTGTTCTAAAGCAGATTGTTCAGGGTCGAATAAGGAACATTCCCTGTCCTGGGAGAGCCACAGTATTGTAAATTCACTGCATGAAAGTGTTGGTCATTCAGTCATGTCCAGCTGTTTGCAGCCCCATGGACTGTAGCCCACCAGGCTCCTCTGTTCATGAGATTCTCCAGGCAAGAATACTGGAGTGGATTGCCATTCCCTTTTCTAGGGGATCTTCCCAACTCAGGGATTGAATCCAAGTCTCCTGCATTGCAGGCAGATTCTTTACTGTCTGAACCACCAGGGAAGCCCCTTGTTGGAGAAGGGAGGCTACTAATCATACAGAAGAGAGCTGTGCAAGAGAGTCAGAATAAAATAAGGTCATCATTGCTATTGAGTATCTGAGCACAGTCAATGTTAGCTCTTTTCTCCTTAGGAACTTGCAGAGGGAAAAATAGGTACTCAACAGAGAAAGAAGACAGCTGCAGTTTGGAAAGAATGAGTGAAACATTTCATCCACTAGAAAGCACTGAGGGAGTGGAAGTTTGAGCCGGGCTCTGTGGGAGAGAGGTGGGAGGTTTACATGCAAGGGTGGTGACGGAATGCATCATAATTAATATATCCACGGGTGGGCAGGACACTGTTCTTAGGGATTTTTTGCTTAGAATGTTTTTCTTGTGCCTGCCTCTAGGACATTGAGTCATTGATGTCTGAGGGAAACAAGTCTCGGACGGTAGCTGCAACCAACATGAATGAAGAAAGCAGCCGCTCCCACGCTGTGTTCAACATCGTCATCACGCAGACACTATACGACCTGCAGTCTGGGGTGAGTGATTGGGTAGAATGGGAGACAGTGAAGGGACTCTCAGTACCTGCCTGGGTGAACCGCTCCTGGATTCGGTTCCTGATAACGTTAGGTCAGCTCTTCTGCTTACTGGATCAGCTACTCTGCTTACATCATGTAATGTGTTAGGTCTTTTCCTGGTGGCTCTATGGTAGGGAACCCACCTGCCCATGCAGGAGACGTGGGTTCAGTCTCTGAGTCGAGGAGATGTCCTGGAAAGAGAAATGGCAACCCACTCGAGTATTCTTGCCTGGGAAATCCCATGGATAGAGGAGCCTGGTGGACTGTAGTCCATGGGGTTGCAAAAGGGCCAGACTCGACTTAGAGACTAAACAAAGCAACAACTTTATATATAACATTAAAAAAACGGAATCCTTGTATAAACGCTCTAAAGACCATGATGCTGTCACCATACCTCTTTTAATATGTATCCTTCCATAGTGAAATTCCCCTAGAAACAGCAGGGTTTACCTCATAGTCACTAAAAAATATGAAAGAGGAAACCACGACATTCAGGCTAAAGATAGCTTTAAAAAAAAAAGTGAAGGATTTGACCTGAATGTGCAGGAACCCTCATGTCCTAGAATGTTCTCATGGACGCATAAAAGCTCCAGCTTTCTAAATATATTCTGGAAAGGCCAGTGCACTTGCTACCAGCTACAAAACAGAATCCCATGCTGCCACACCGACTTTTAATTTTTACCCTAAAACTGCCAGTCCAAAGAACTCTTCTTACCATTTAAAGTCTTCTCAAGTTTGCCGCCTTGAAGCAAGATGGCTTCCGGGGCGGTGCTGACGTCTGCGTCGGTATTGGTTGGTTTCTGCGCTCACGTCTGTCTGTCGTTTCTCTCTCGTCTCCCGCAACTAGAACTCAGGGGAGAAGGTGAGCAAAGTGAGTTTGGTGGACCTGGCGGGCAGCGAGAGAGTGTCTAAAACCGGAGCTGCGGGAGAGCGCCTGAAGGAAGGCAGCAACATTAACAAGTAAGGGGCCTGTGCGATTCCCACGGGGAACCCCCACGTCCCACCAGCTTCCCGAGTGTCCGGGGCAACTTGTCCCCTTATGGTCAGGTGGCTCTGATCACAGGTGGTTCAGCGTCTGTGTAGCTTTAGTGAAATGGGTTGAAGAAAAACATCAGCCTGCCTCTGTTGAGATGCATGAGGTTTATTTAAGTGAAACAGAACGAGGCAGCCAGGTTCCAGCATTGTCCATACAAACACCCAGAATATCATTGTATAATGTAATTAATCTTATGTAAATGCAAGTAGCAGTTTTAGAAGTCAAATCATAGCCTAGATCTAACTCTAGGAGCTTATTCTAAAGAGAAAATCTACTTCAAATCCCTTTGTAAGGCTAATACTTGTCTTCCCTGGTGGCTCAGTAGTAAAGAATCCACCTGCCAATGCAGGAGATGCAGGTTCAATCCCTGGATCAGGAAAATCCCCTGAAGAAGGAAATGGCAACCCACTCCAGTATTCTTGCCTGGGAAATCCCATGGACAGAGGAGCCTGGTGGGCTACAGTCCGTAGGATCCCAAAAGAGTTGGACATGACTTAGCAACTAAACAACAGAAACAATAACTTCCCCCCAAAAGTAATAGTTATAGAATAACTGCCATGCTGAAATCTCATTCTTTGCCTTGAGTGCCTGTAGCGTGCCCAGGGATGCGGGGAAGGCTGAAGGAGAGCTGAGGGGTGCAGGGTGTGTAGGAGTTGGCCCATTGGACAAGGAGGTGAAGGCTTTCAGGGAAGGGTACAGCAAAGGCGCAGATGAAGGATTAGTTCATTCATTTTCTAATTATTTATTTGTTTGCACTGGTCTTAGTTGTAGCATGTAGGATCTCAGTTCCCCCTACCAGGGACCGAACCAGTGTGCCCTGCATTGGAAGGTGGACTGAGTCTTAGCCACTGGACCACCAGGGAAGTCCTAAAGGGCTGGTTCTTTGGGACGTGCTGTCCAAGGATGCCCCGATAAGCCAGAGAAGTCCGTCTTCCCCAGCATGAGAGGGAGCAGAGTTTGCCCTTTTAGTCTTATATGCTTGAGCAGGACTGCCTGGGTCATTCCTGCCACTCCTCCACTTACTAGATGCATATGTATCCCAGGCGAGTGAATATACCTTCATTTTTCTCATCTGTATAATGAGGACAGTAACAGTATCTGCTTCATTGAGTTGTTGGGGATTAAGTGCCCGGAATGTGCTTAGAACAATGCCTAACGTGTCATATGCACTGAAGAAATAGTAATGGCTCTAGCCATTATTTTTATAGCTTGTGTAAACAGCATAATCATTATTTCAGGTTCAGCAGAAAGAAACGTGGTTTGTACGTGTATGTTTCTTTTGAGACATGATAACTTGGGCTTTGTATGTATACTGGATAGCTGATTCACTTTGCCATACAGCAGAATCTAGCACAATGTTGTAGAGCAGCTATGCTCCAAGAAAAAATTAATGAAAAAGAAAGAACTTGGGGTTTTGTTTAGGCAAAAAGGGGACAAGAGGTAATAGATTCAGGAACATGTTTCTGCAGCTTGCATTACAAAATGGCACTAGCACATTGTAATCTCACAAAAGTTTGCAAAAGTAGCAGTGAAATATCACCCCCTCTATGAAATGGACATAGCCATGCTCACTGCACAGGCTGCTGCTTGAGGGGGTCAACTCCCAGTCATTCTGTCTCTTGCTCTGATAACAAAGGATTTTGCTCTGTTTCATGACAAAGCATTGTAGGAGCCCAGACTGGCAGACAGCTCTGCATTCTAAAGTGAGTACAAGACAGGGAACTCTGCTCAGCGTTATGTGCTAGGCTGGATGGGAGGGGAGTGTAGGGAAGAATGGATACATGTATACATATGGCTGAATCCCTTTGTTCTCCACCTGAAACTATCACAACATTGTTCATCGGCTATACTCCCATATAAAATAAAAAGTCTTAAAAATACAGAATAAAATAAGTAAATGAGTGCAAGCACCAGGATGGAGAAACAGAAATGGGGGTGTGAGGAAGCAGGCACCAAAGAAAAGATTGTCATCACTCCTGGAGGTTTGTGTACTGGCGCTCAACCATGCTAGCTGTCGGCCTGTGCCTGCACTTATGGGAACACACTGGGAGTTCTCTAAATTCATGGAAATCTGGAGTATGGCTGGCCTTGACGTGTAAGGACCACCAACTTCTGTTGCCCTCTCACTGTATACTAGGCACTGTACTATGTACTCTGTATGTAATAATTCATCTGAGCCTCACGTCACCATTTTATAGACGAGGAAACCAAGGCAGAGAGCAGTTAAATAATATGGCCAAGGTCACAGGCTCTAAGCGTGGATCTTAGACTTGGTTGTAGGTAGTTTGGCTCCAGAGCCAAGGCTCACTCACTGACCTGCCCAAGTGTTGTGTTGGCCTGGGAGAATCCTAACTGATTTTGTCCCAGAGTAAATATTAATAGTGCCCCCCCCCTCAATTTGGACACTAAATTATATAGTGTCTCAAACTGGCCTACCTCAAGGCCACACATAACATGATTTAGATATTCCGGCTACTGGCTCTTTTCCATTATGATTTAATGAATTGAATGGATTTCTCTTAGCATCCTGCTGTCTTTCCTTATGTGGCTCTTTCACAAATGGATGTATGTATTCCTTACTACTAGTCTGTGAGATACCTACATTTTTAGGGTTCTTTTTAGTTTGGGGACAGTTTCATATGCATTATTTCATGTGAAGTTCATTATATGTATTTATATTTCTGTTTAAGGATAAGGAAACTGATGGTTGGAGATATACATTTATATAATATGAATAAAAGCTGAGCAGGCCTCTACTATGTCTGGCACATTAAATGTGGAGATGCAAGAGGAACTTTGTTGTTGACAGAATATTGCCTCCCTGTCCCCAAATACATCCAAGTCCTAATTCCCAAAACATGTGCCTATATTACCTCACAAAGGGATTTCGCAGGTGTCATTAAGTTAAAGATGTTGCAGTGAGATTATTTGGATCAGTTCAGTGCAGTTCAGTCACTCAGTTCTGTCTGACTCTTTGTGACCCCATGGACTGCAGTACACCAGGCCTCCCTGTCCATCACCAACTCCCGGAGCTTGCTCAAACTCATGTCCATCAAGTCAGTGATGCCATCCAACCACCTCATCCTCTGTCATCCTATTCTTCTCCAGCCCTCAATCTTTCCCAGCATCAGGGTCTTTTCCAATGAGTCAGTTCTTCACAGCAAATGGCCAGAGTACTGGAGCTTCAGCTTCAGCATCAGTNCGACGTACTCCTTTCCCAATTTGGAACCAGTCCGTTGTTCCATGTCTGGTTCTAACTGTTGCTTCTTGAGCTGCATACAGATTTCTCAGGAGGCAGGTAAGGAGGTCTGGTATTCCCATCTCTTGAAGAATTTTCCACAGTTTGTTGTGATCCACACAGTCAAAGGCTTTACCGTAGTCAGTAAAGAAGTATATGTTTTTCTGGAATTCTCTTGCTTTTTCGATGAACCGATGGATGTTGGCAATTTGATCTTTTGTTCCTCTGCCTTTTCTAAATCCAGCTTGAACATCTGGAAGTTCTCAGTTCACTTACTGCTGAAGCCTGGCTTAGAGAGTTTTCAGCATTACTTTGCTAGCGTGTGAGATGAGCGGGTCTGTTGTAATCACAGAGATCCTTACAAGTGAAAGGAGGTCGGAGAGCCAGTGTCAGAGTGACATGGGGTGAGAAAGACCCCCATAGCTCACTGCTCACATGTGAGTGGAGGGAGGGGCCATCAGCCAAGAGGCAGGGGCACCCGTGGAAGCTGGAAAAGGCGAGGAAACTTCTAGCCCAGAGAAACCCATTCTGGACTTCCAGCCTCCAGAACTATAAGATGATTGGTGTGGTTTTGAGCCACTACCCCTGTGATTATTTGTTACAGCATGATCACTGCCCTCGAAAAGGAACACATAGGTTGAGATACAGTAAGTTATTAATACTTAATCTGAAAAAGCAAAAGGCACATTAGAAGTGCTACATCACCCAGCACTGAAGCATGAAACTGTTTTTTTTTAAAGACACATTTACCAGTCCATGGGTGTCTGCCAAGTTGGTCTTGTGCTTTTCCCAAAATAGCTGGCTCGAAGGGAGTGGAGCTGCGTCTGAACCCTCTCCCTTGAACCTCAGTCCAGGGCTGTTTTCATCCCCCCACCTGTCTCTCTCAGCTCGCTGAATGGGTCCATGTATGCCAGGCTCCCGCCACGGATCCAGATCTGCACCAGGTGTCCTCCAACTCTCCACGTGGTCACTGGTTTAGTGGGACATCTTCTCACAGTATGATCATGCCCTGAGGTCTGCACAGCTGTCTTAGAGACCTTCATAGAAAGAGAGGCCCACAGGTTTTTACCTGCAGTTCCAAAACCCACAGTGAAGTCACTCAGTTGTGTCTGACTCTTAGTGACCCCATGGACTGAAGCCCACCAGGCTCCCCTCTCCGTGGAACTCTCCAGGGAAGAATACTGGAGTCGGTTGCCATTTCCTTCTCCAGGGGATCTTCCCGACCCAAGGATCAAACCCTGGTCTCCCGCACTGCAGGCAGACCACCATCTGAGCCATCAGGAATGCCAAAGTGCTCTGAAAACCAAATGCTTTTCCTGCTTCCCTCGTTGTTCACTCGTTGGTGAACCCTCACCTGAACTTGGATGAGGTCTTTATCTTCACTTATGGTCTTTATTTAGTCATTTAGTGTGGCCATTCATACGTTTAGCTGTAGAAATGTTCATGAATTTTACTATGGGCTGCTGTCCCAGATCCCCCCAGTGGTCATATGTAATAGTGTATGCACTGAACTTCCTAAAATCCAAAAACATTCTGAATTTCAAAACAAACGTGACCCTAAGGCTATCAGATAAGAGAGAAATGGACCTGTACTGTTTTGCTCCATCTAGCAAATAAGTGTCGAACACTGACTGGGCATAAGAAGAAAGGGGTGACGAAGATGAGACCCTGGCCTTGGGAAGTTCA